ACCCACCAAGAGAAATCAAAAGACAGAGTCGAGGAGATCGGAAGAGTATATTTGGCGATAACCAATATATCGGAATTCTGTGATCTAATCTGGCTAGCGATTGCGGCAGATGTTGAGCACGGCGTTACCACACGTAATCTGGTGCGGATGCATGGCCGAGCGCCTTCAGCTAGATGAGTCCACTAAAACTAATCTGGTCAGCATCCAATGTCGAAAACTTACAGAGCTATTTATTTTGAGGATTTATTTACCGCTACAGATTTATGTAGACATTACAGGTTCAAATGGTTCAAATGGTTGTGGACGGAATAGAAGAAGCTTTCGCTTAACAGGCTTCCGTGTCTAGTAGCAGGGGATCACCAAATCCTCCAGGCAGGAACCTAGGTATGTTAACAATAAAAGAGGAAAAGAAATTGGTAAATCATAGTGTGATGCTGACCTTGGTCCTTAAGAATAGGTTAAGTTGCCTCTTAAAGTATTCCTGAGAAGTCGCTTGGACTAGCTCGGCCGGCAGCGAATTCCAGATTTTGACAACTCTTAAGGAGTAGAAGTTGTGTCTACATTCCGTCTTGCTATGTTGTGTTTCCAGTTTCTGGGTGTTACCCCTTAGGTTATTATTCGAACTAAGCTTAAGTAGGTGTTTAAGAGGATGTCCAGAAGCGTTAAGAATACTATAAGCCATTAATAAATCACCTCTAAGAAGCCTATATTCTAGTGGGTAAAGGTCTAGTGAACGGAGGCGTTCTTCGTAAGGCTTAGATTTGAGTCCTCGAACTGATTTCGTGGCTCGCCGTTGGATACGCTCCAAAGTGACCTTGTCCTTTTGGAGTGAGTGGGGGAGTACTATGTTTCCGTACTCTAAATGGGGACGGATGAAACTATTGAAGATTGTATGGAAAGTTCGTCCGTCAAACTGGCCAAAAATGCGCTTCAACGTTACCAGTGCAAGGTTTGTTCGGAAAGCATTTTTGTCACAGTTAGCGTAAGACTTTAAATCATGGGGCACCAGGACACCTAAATCTTTTTCGACTTGGGATACTACTAGAGAGGAGTTTCCTAAGTTGTATCTGTAGTTTGCGACATGTCGCAGATGGACTACTTTACACTTTGAAGTGTTAAAGGTAAGTCCGTTATCGTCTGCCCAACTTTGAAGTCGCGTCAGATCCTCCTGAAGTGCCTGTGTATCGTCTTGGTTGCGTATCTCTCTCCAAAGTTTCACGTCGTCGGCAAAAAGTAATAAGTCTGACGTTACCTGTTGAGGAAGATCATTTATGTAGATCAAGAAGAGAAGAGGCCCTAGTACTGAGCCCTGGGGGACCCCACTAGGACATTCCATAGCCTGAGATAAAGTGAAATTAACCCTAACCATAAAGTGTCGATTTGTTAGGTATGAAGTAAGACAATCGATTAGAGGTGGTTTGATACCTAGTCGTTTGAGCTTATTGGTAGGACACAAGTGGTTAACCTTATCAAAAGCTTTTGAGAGATCAAGGTAAATGAATCAACCTTTCCCTTGCGATCGAGGATGCTTGTCCACCTGTCAACCGCAGTCAGCAGGTTGGTTATACAAGAGTAACCCTTCCTGAAACCATGCTGTTGGGGTGAGAAGAAATTTAAGGACAGTAGATAGTCGTTTAAACCGTCGCATATCAGGGACTCCATGAGTTTTGAAGGTAATGACAGAAGAGCCACCGGCCGATAACTTGAAGGTTCATTGCGTCGACCACCTTTGAAAATTGGTGTGATGTGAGCCAACTTCCAATTTTCCGGTAATTTGCCTCGGCTTAGCGAGTGTGAGAACATCACGCTAAGCGGCGTTGCCAGGATTGAGGCTGCCTCCCTCAGTATGGCAGGATGAACCATATCCGGGCCAGGAGAAGTATCTAGTCTTAAGTGCTGCAATTTCCGGAACACCAAGTCAGCGCTTAGGTCCACTTCAGAAAGTCCTGTGGAATTGCAGATGAAACTGTCGTCAGTAGAGTTGATGTCAGCCGGTTGAAATGTTAGAGAGTAATGTGCCGCCAGAAGGTCAGCGGCGCCGCCATCGTTGTTGTTCAGGCCGTTAAGACCTAGCAGTTGAGAAACTCCTGTTTTGGCTTGACGAAGAGAGGCTGCGTAACGGAATAGGCTTCTAGGGTTAGAGACGAATTTGTCCATAAGCTTTGTTTGGTACTGAAGCCTGTCTTCTCTTATAGCCTTCGTGCATATGTTCCTGATATGTTTAGTGATGTAACATATATCACTGATTGTTTACTTCGATCTGTAAAAAGAAAGTAACGCTTAGGTTTCTTTACAGTTTTGCCTAAGCGTGTTGAACATGTAGGATTATTGCTTGGTTTTTCATCTTAGTCTGATATTGTAGTAATAGGCTTCTAGGGTTAGAGGCAAATTTGTCCATAAGCTTTGTCTGGTACTGAAGCCTGTCTTCTCTTATTGCCTTCGTGCATATGTTCCTGATATGTTTATATTGCCTATACGCTCCGTCGTTATCAGTTCGTTTGTATTCTGTCTAACAGTGCCTTTTGCGGCTTAGCAGGCGAAGGGTACGGTTCTTGATTACTGTAGGTGGCTTGCAGCTTTCGGGAACCGTTTGAGGAACTGAATGGTTTGAAGCACATAGGAGCGTGTGCAGTAGGAAGTCCCAATGACCGTCCACGTCGAGTTGAGGGTGAACATCCCAAACCACCTGTTGTAGATAGTCATGTAGAGCTGGCACATTCAGCCGTTTAATATTCCAACGCAAATTATTGTCGGGATACCTTAGCTTAGATTTGATGACAAAACTGAAGGCTATGACGGCGTGATCGCTCTTTCCCAGAGGAGCCAGGATTGAGAGGTTGTCAACTAGGAATTCTTCGTTTGTGAATACACAGTCTAAGCGCGATGGTGCCTGACTGTTTCTCCAACGAGTTGCCGACCTCACATTTTCATATAAGCCCAAGTCATCGATGAGGTTGAAGAACCGAGCTTCAATTGAGTTGTCGCTTCCAGTGTACGTGTGTTCCGCGAAGTTGACTCTAGAGAGATTAAAGTCCCCTAGAATCAGGATGTGTGTGAAACCGAGACGGATAGAGCGGGATAGTCCTTCCAGCATACGACTATCGTACTCGGTGTCGGCAGTTGGCTTCCTGTGAATGACTACGACTAGACACCTCGAAGTACTTGACAATCTAACAGAGCACCATATGGATTCCTCAAGATTGTTAAACTCGAGGTTGTGAACTTGGTGCACCTCCAAGCAAGAGCTTATGTATATGGCTACTCCGCCCCCAATTCCTGTTTTTCTGTCGTTGCGGAACAAAGTCATCCCAGGTAATGCTAACTCTTGGTCCGAGAAATGAGTAGATATCCAGGTTTCAGATATTCCTATCAGATGGGCCTTATTAGCGTTGCTAAGTTCACGTAATTCATCCAGTTTGTTCATATATAAGCAGTTTATGCTTTCAATTTGGAACGCGTGAGCTTCGTCCTGTTTTTATGTATGAGCCCTATGTGAATGGACAGGTAGCCCACCTATATGAGGTTTGCCGAGGTGGTAGGACCTGTCCTTTACACGCTTTTTTATCATTTAGACAGTCCACAAGTGGAACGGTCAGCTCCAACTTGCTTTTGTGTTTGGTCCTAGCTTCATATGGCCTATCCGGGTGCATGTGGATTCCAGGTGGCAATCGACGTCTGTTGGCGCGAAATGCTTCCAGAACTGCAGCCGCCATGTGGGAAAATGGGAAGGTTATCTTCATTAGACGAGGTCTAGGATCACCATCCTTCTTGGCTAGTCTCGTCACATGCTGAGTCAGTATGTGTTTGAGCCTCAAGGACTGTTCGATGAACTTCCATTCCCTGATGTCAGAATTTGATTGAGTAGGGTCTGCATTTTCCGGTATACCTTGGACAATTATGTTTCTTCCGCGGAAAAACTTCTCGCGAGTTTCTTTGGGGATGTTCCGTATGATATTGCGCTCAGAGTACGGTATGTCGGGCAATATTTTTACGTTACCATCGGATTTCAACAAGTGACTTGCTACAAGACGTCCTCAACGTCGGCAGCATTCTTAAGTGTTAGTCGGAGAAGCCTCGGGTGATTTAGATGCTTAGAATCCTTTCCTCGAGTGAGCCAGGTGACCGTCAAAGGCTCTATTCTAGGAAGTTCGAGCTTCTTGTTCAATTCACCCCAGAGCATCCTGTCGTTTTTGTCCTGCAGACTGAGAGGAAGATCAGGATTGTCAACGAGGTTCATGATAATGAGAGAATCGTCACGAACTGTTGTTAATTTACCAGATTTCACGATGGATTTAGGTTTATTAACTTGTTGTTTGGAGGTCGGTGCGCGTTTTTGAGTTTTGGGCTCTTTGTTGACCGGACGAACAGTCTTGGGGGTAGACTGTGCGACCAAATCACCAGTTATTTTCCGTACAGCAACACTTGGGTTGCTCGACTTAGGCAGTGATGCCTGGTTCTTTCGGGCTCTCTTAACGTTGGTCGAATCACCTACAGGGTTTTTGGGAACCACTGTTGTGTCCAGGGACCCTAAGCTGGGAGACCCGAGTTTGCTTAGGGAGTCTAGTACTGTCGACGTAATGATGGTGCTGAGCCTCGACACGTCATCATTAGTGTTGACGGATGCTCCATCGGTGGTATACCTATCGGCATCCCTATTTTTGTATCCGTCGCATCTCGACATTCAGATTCATCATACAGACGATGTATTTAAAACGTATTTCTACTACCTTTCACAATGCAACCAACCAGCCTCGTGTCTGTTAGTATGATTATTGCTGGTCTGTGACGCCGTCCTCCCATGAAACAAACGCACTCAGACTACAAGTTATACAAAACTACAAATAACTATGAAACTGACTCGAAATAGTGCAGTCGAGTGAAAACACTACTGCTCATTAATGTTGTCAAAGACCTGTGACCTTAGTGAAACGAAAAGGGAACACAGCGAAATCAACCAGTTAAAACAATTTCGTCGATAGAATATTGTGTATTGGAAGGTCATTAATGAGGGGATCATTCGAATGGTTTCGTTGATGCTTGTGTCAAGTTTATTAACATAGGCTCACTTAACCATGAGGATGATTGAGAGTAGGCTAGAAGAATCCAGACACAAACTCATGGAGACCAGCAACAATATAGAGAAAGCTGCTGCGTTTTGTTCGGAAAAATACTTGGTAGTTGTTTCACTGCTGATAACGTATGATAGGTTAACCCCGAAAGCAACACACTTGATGAAAGTTTAGAGTTAGCAACGCAATCTGTATGCGCGGTAGCTCACGAGGTTAATCGTTTCGCCAGTCAATTTCTTGAAGCACTAGAGTACCAGTCGTATCAAACTACTGATTTGTCAGACAAAATTTCCAAGCTGAAAATGGCAAGTAGTACCTTACCATAATAATTTACTAGGTATGCAATATTTACTTAGAGAAGGTGGCGCGCAAGGCTGTTGGGTCGTGCACAGTGTCGAGGGTTCCGATTGTCTATCAACATGAGGCAGTGCTTCCTGAACCTCCACAAAAGTATATAAGACAACCAATCAATTTTTCAATCTTGGACAACGTTGGTCATGGAATACCCGCACAAGTAATCTGTGCTTGTTAAATATACTCTAGTTGCTTATCAAATGCTTTTAGCATATAGATAATATGTACATATATACATTTACCCGAAAAGATACAGTCTGGCTGTAAACCCAGACGAGTTAAAATTCTAGTTAAGAAAGTGCAACTTTTAAGAGATGTAGTAGAGAACTAGAGTGTGATAAATGCCCACTTCCTTTCTAAGCCACATGAATTCCGAAATCTTGTTTATACCTTTTACTTTCTCGGCGAGATTATAATTTATGGACGATCTTTGAGTAATTATAGTGACCATGGTAAGTTTCACGTACCAGAGTAAAACAAGGGTTGTAAAATAGCGTGGTAAAGTAGGATTAGGAGTTGGGGTCAGGAATTAGAGTTATGGCTTTCATCGAGAACTGACGTCGGCTATAATGCCAAGACGCTACCTACACATATGAGTAAATTAATTTCGCGTCAAAATTCACTTTAGATGTCATTATTTTTTTTAGCAGATTAGAGTTTTCTACCACTGCTACTAATATTACTACTAATTTTGTCACTTACTACTTCTATTGTTTTGGAATTTTTCTTGATAATCTTACCTTGTTATTGTGTTGTGATAGCCCGGGCTGACCCACATGTTAGGTTCTATGTCGTATACCCTGACTTGTGTGGTGACATCTGAGGTCATAGTCTCACAATTACAAGAGCGCTAGCCAGAGATCCCTGTGCCCGACATATACTATTTCTATGCAGCTATCTTTCATATCACAAAATAACCCTCTCGTTCCACACAGTTACAGCATCGGTAAATGGCGTACAATGTAAAATCCCCTGGGCTGACATTCTTAAAAAGTGATCAGAACACCGACTTGCATATTTCAAGATGATGACACCATAACTGATAAACTCATTGAAGTATATATTCCATGGGCTATCGGAAAAAGACGACACATCTGCTCTCAGCCCAGACGTTTACAACGATGGGCGGAACACTTTAAGGAGCAGTTCAGCTGACCTTCGGCTACTCTACAAATACCCACCATTCTCAAACAGCATGAATGGAACGTTCAAGTAGGTCATTCGATTCTAGTTAGAGTTCAAAAGGCAATAATCTGAAACAAGGCAGAGCAGTTGGACTGGCTCCCGAGATTTTTAAGGATGGTGGTCCAGTTTTAGCGATTAGGTTGACGAATATTTTAGCCAAAATCTGGGAGCTGAACGCAATCTCATCTGACTGGCCACAATCACTTATTGTTCCAATATATAAGAGGTCAAAATCATCCTGTGACAGCTATAAAGGGATTAGTTTGACTAACATAGCATCTAAAATACTAGCCTCTTTAATTACCGGGCGCCTAACCAAGACTCGTGAACTGCAAACACAAGAAAACCAGGTTGGCCTCAGGCCTGGTCGTGGCAGCATCGACCACATATTCACCATTCGTCAGGTTCTAGAACACAGACATACTTATCGGCGTCCGACAATGGTGGTCTTTTTTTACTTAAATACAGCATTTGACTCTGTTGACCGAGATATTTTCTGACATTGTCTGTCATTGAAAGTACATCAACCTTGTGAAGGCTCTTCACTCAGTCAGTCAGTCAGCTACAACGTAGGACCAGGCACATATGTGCATCGGTCCAGGTTGCCATACCTCATTAGCACAGCAAGATGAACACCGGATTCATAGGAGTGGTTAGGTCAAAGGTTGCAATAAGGATATAGTATAGGAAGAAAGAATTAGTTCGTAGACAGAAAGAATGAAGTGATTTTAGTCTCTTAGTTTAAGGGAAGACAGGGAGTGTATACACCAATGCCACTGTGATCGATTCTGAGCCATGTCACCAAGAGTCTCCAACCATTGGTTACGAAAGTCACGCGGACCCCAACCAAGTAGTCTGCATCTACCAACGTGGCTCAGACTAGAAGTTAGTGACTTCAGGCACTGATGCCACGTTTTGGTTTGGCCGCCCCTAACTTTCTTCCAACCATCCCCTACCCCGGTTAGCACTGCACGTCGTGGTAATCGGTGTTCAGGCATACGTAATACGTGGCCCAACCATCTCAGTCGATGAAGATTCATAACCTCATCAACTGATTTACCATCATTCCCTAATACCCTGCGTCTAACCTCACTATTACTTACCCGGTGATCCCAACAGATGCCAGCAATATTTCTAAGGCATCTGTGGTCAAATACTAGTAGCTTACGGGTGTCTTCTACTCTTAAGGGCCATGTTTCGCTGCCGTAAATTAAAACAGAACGAACTGCCGCGCAGTATACTCGTCCTTTTATTGATAGACGGATATCTCGCCTTCGCCAAAGGTGACGCAAGTTGGCAAAAGCCAAGCGAGCTTTTCGAATCCGTGCTGAGATTTCGTCCGATACCAACCCATTAGGGCTGATCAGACTTCCAAGATAAGTGAAGTTATCAACGCGTTCGACTACTTTACTCCCTATCCTTAGTTCAGGTGTTGACGCAGACCAGTCCTGAAGCAACAACTTGCATTTAGAGGGAGAGAAGCGCATCCCAAACATTCTGGCATTGTTGCTTAGTGCTACCAGAAGACTCTGCATTTTCTCAGCGTCTTCACCAAACAGGACTATGTCATCTGCGTATTCTAAGTCGATAAGTGGACCTCCTGGAAGGAGATCAATACCCGAGAATTCAGTCGACGAGAGTGTTATTTCCATCAATAGGTCTATGATGAAGTTAAACAAAAATGGAGAAAGTGGACAGCCTTGACGGACACCACTTGAGGTTGCAAAAGTAGATGACAGTTCGCCATAAGCCCTGACTCGACTAGTAGTGTTCGAGTAAAGAGCCTTCACAAGGTTTATGTACTTCTGAGGTACGCCTTTCAATGACAGACACTGCCACAGAGTCTCGCGGTCTACCGAGTCAAATGCTGCTTTTAAGTCAAGAAAGACCACCATCGTCGGACGCCGATAGGTATGCCTGTGTTCTAGAACCTGACGAATGGTGAATATGTGGTCGATGCAGCCACGACCAGGTCTAAAGCCAGCTTGGTTCTCTCGAGTTTGTATTTCACGAGTCTTAGTTAGGCGTTTGATAATTATCGAGGCCAGTATTTTAGAAACTATGTTTGTTAAACTAATCCCTCTATGGTTGTCACAGGATGATTTTGACCCTTTCTTATATATTGGGACGATAAGTGATTGCGACCAGTCAGATGGGATAAAGTCTAATTCCCAGATCTTAGCTAAAATATTAGTCAACTTAATCGCTAAAATTGGACCACCATCCTTAAAGACCTCTGGAGCCAATCCATCTGGACCAGCTGCCCTTCCTCGTTTCAGATTAACTATAGTCTTTTGAACTTCAGCAAGAGTCGGGGGACCTACTTCAATGTTCCATTCACACTGTCTGGGAATGGAGGGTAGTTGTAGAGTAGCTAAAGGCCAGCTGAACTGTTCCCTAAAGTGTTCCGCCCATCGTTCTAAACGCCTGGACTTGGAGCAGATGAGTGTATCGTCTTTTTCCGATATAATCTCACTTACACTTGACTTATTAATTCCAGTTTCTTTTATTAGTCTGTAAAGCTGTCTTGTGTTCCCTATAGTCGCCGCCTTTTCCATCTCTTTTGCTTTCGATGCCCACCACTGCTCACGGTCGTTTCTTAGACTTTTTCTTAACCTAGATCTGATTTGTTTTCGCTCTTCATCATGTTCAGAACCTGATGGGACGAGTTTGCGAGAATCCATCAGTGTGACAGACCTTGAAGAAATCCACTGGTTCCTTGCAACTCTGTGGTTTAAGTCACTAATAGATGTCACTGCTTTTTCCACAGCTGATTGTATGCCCTTCCAAGCAACATCTGGGTCAGCCTCGTCTTCACAACTACCTAATTGTGACCTCAGTTGTTCCTGGAACCTACTTTTGGTTTTCTCGTTACTCAAATCAGTTCTAACGGGTCTTTTTAATGTGGCTTTTTTGCGTCCAGTGAGGCGCAAGCAGATGCGTGCCCGTATTAGGGCATGGTCGGAGTCCAAGCAGGTACTCCAGAATGAGCGACAATCTTCTACCGACCCTCTCCAACGATGACTGATGGCAATATGATCTATTTGAGTCCATCGTTGGTTTGGTGTAGGGGGTCGCCATGTTAGACGATGTCTCTCTTTATGCTTAAAATTTGTGTTTGCTAAAAATAAACGATTGTCTGAGCATAGTTGCAGCAGACGATCACCATTATCTGTTCGCTGTGTCGGAATACTAAAATATCCACCTAAATGCCTTTCTGTTTGGTTTAAACTGCCTATCTGAGCATTAAAATCACCTGCTACGAGTACTATGTCTGAGCGTTTAGCTTTCTGAAGAAGTTCGGACAGCTTTCTGTAAAATTCATCTTTCACATCATCTGAGCTGCAGTCAATGGGAGCGTAGGCAGAAACGACAAAAAGGCAACGACGTGTGTCCCTATCCTTCCGAGTTCTTACGTAGCCGTTCAGCCGAACAGCCGAACATAGACGACTGTTGACGGGGATCCACTCTAGCAGTGCTTGTTCGGCCCTCATGCTTAGTGCTATGCCTACACCTGCCAGTCCACGAGAACTTGCCATCGGGTCACCAGATACACGAAGGGTGTACCTCGTTGGCTCTCCGTTTTGCCGAGGTGAGGTCAAGTGAATGACCACACTGGAATCCTGTATGCGTGTTTCGGAGACACAGCACACGTCAATGGTAAGAGACTCTAGGGTTTTAGCCAAGGAAGCCTGCTGACCGATTTGACATAGGGTTCGTACGTTGAAGGCTCCAATGTGTAGTTTGGAGCGAGTTTTCAGTAGACCTGGGACAGTATTTTGCGCACTAGAATCGTTGGCTATGGTGACACTTGAGGTGGAAGCCGAGAGAGGAAATTTAAAGTTGAAAGTCGATGTAGGAGGAATAATAGGAATTGAAGAGGAAGGTTGATTATGAATACAGTGGTCTTGAGTGCTGTTAGAGGTATGAGGGCGGTTTTCACTTCCCGGTTGCCCACACCGTGGAAGGGTTGTTCTGGAGGTACCTGAAAAGGAATTTGGATTAAAGGTGGTCTTAGTGACCTGAGAGCGTGACCGCAGTGCCCAAGGGACAACTGCTTGAGGTCGGTCACACACGACCTTGTTATGGGTAATTTTTGTGTTAGCTCCGTACTTATTGGGACCTTACCGCCGGAGACGGATATCCGTGGGATAAGGCGAGGTGTGCATTTTTAGGGTCGACCTTTTCTAACCCCACCCCTCCTTGTGGGAAGGCAGCATCGCTGTCATGCTGGTTGTCTGAAGGAAACACCTTACTGCTGTCACACCTCTGTACAGTCAGCAGTACGACTTCGCCTTCGGACCTTGGGTTTGTTGCCTTTAGTCTTACCGCTCTTCAACCGACCTGTCTGACATGGTAGGACCTTGAGGAACGGTTGTTCCAGCCAGTATAGCTCGGTTGCTTCATCACGATAGGCAAGCCCGACCACCACGTCAAGGTAGCAACAACGGTCGGGACTCTTCACTCGAACATTACTAATCAGGTTAGAGCGTATGGCGAACTGTCATCTGCTTTTGTAACCTCAAGTGGTTTCCGACAACTCTGTCCACTATCTCCATTTTTGTCCAACTTCATCATGGACGTACTGATGGAAGTATTATTATTTATTTATTTTAACACATAGATATTGGTACAAGGAGGCGCCAAATACATATGCGCCACACAAATCTCATTCGATATGTGTGAGGGCTGTGATACTGCCCGAGTGCACAAACCGAAGCAGGTGGTTTTCTTAGAGCGCCACTCCCCGAGCCTTCGACCTAAAAGTCTGATCCACAAGGCAGTGGAGCATCGTAAGGAGATGCAGTCCCATGGAAGCCGGTGACCAACATTGGTTCATACGCCATTTGTTCCCGCAGGATACTGGAGCCCATGTGCACCATTGGTCTAAAATCCGGCTAAAGCGACGGACATCCGCTTTTCGTCCTCTCATTTTCGTAAACAACACCCCCACGACGAAAAGGCAGTGAGTAGGACTTCCCTGGCAGAGGCTATATACGCGTAGCCATGTGAGAGCATTTGGAGAGGGAGAGCGGACTCTCCCCACTCTCAGCCATACTAGGGCATTTGGGGGCAAATAACGTTCTCGTCGACTGAATTCTCGGGTATTGATCTCCTTCCAGGAGGTCCAATTATCGACTTAGAACACGCAGATGACATAGTCCTGTTTGGTGAAGACGCTGATAAAATGCAGAGTTTTCTGTTAGCACTGGGGAAAATGCCAGAATGTTTGGGATGCGCTTCTCTCCTTCTAAATGCAAGTTGTTGCTTCAGGACTGGTCTGCGTTAACATCTAAACTAAGGATAGGGATTGAAGTGGTCGAACGCGTCGACAATTTCACTTATATTGGATGTCTATTTAGCCCTAGTGGTGTCTGACGAAATCTCTGCAAGGATTCAGAAAGATCGTTTGGCTTTCGTTAAATGGCGTCGCCTATAGCGAAGGACAGATATCCGTCTATTAATAAAAGGACGAGTACAGTGCGCAGCAGTTCGTTCTATTTAACTTTACAGCTGCAAAACGTGGTCATTAAGGGTAGAGGATACTCGTAAATTACCAGTATTTGATCACAAATGTCACCGGGTAAGTAATAGTGGGGTTAGACGCAGAGTATTAGAGAATTATCTTAAATCAGTCGATGAGGTTGTCAATCTTCATCAACTAATATGGTTGGGCCATGTGTTACGTATGTCTGAACACCGTTTACCACGACGGGCAATGCTGACTAGTGCTGGAGACGGCTGGAAGAAAGTTAGAAGAGTCAGTCCTTGAAGTCACTAACTTCTGGTCTGAGCCATGTTAGTAAATGCAGATTACTCGGTTGGGATCCGCGTGACTCTCTTAACCAATGGTTGGAGACTAGGTGACATGGCTCAGAATCGGTCACAATGGCGTAGGTGTATACCCTCTTTGTCTTCCCTTAAACCGTGATATTAAAACTAATTTATACCTTTCTAATTCTTTCTTCCTGTATTAAATCCTTATGCACAATCTTTCTTTTATATATTACTATCATTTAAGTAACTACTTCTATGAATTTGGTATTCGTCTTGTTGTGTTAATGAGGTATGAGAACTTGGACCAATGCATATATGTGCCTGGTCCTATGTTGTAGCTAAATGACTGAACATGCCCCCCTGAAAATGTTAGCATATTCTACCTCAGTCCTCGTTATTTAACCTAAACTGTTTACTGGAACTTTTTAGGATCCGGTTTCTAATTATTATGGACAGTCATTCATTCAAGCTGCAACCCTTACACGACGAGGTAGTTCTTCAGTTAGTGGTCAACTTCCTGGACGACAGCATAGTACGGTTGCCTGCCGCACAGTGAACTCAAAACCGTGTCTAGAGTACGCAGCACCCACAAATAATTTGAGACCGCAGGGTATGTTATTGTTTATACTGGTTTCCAAACATATTTAGTCGACTGATTTCCTGATAGGTATATAACTAAATACTATTCCCTAAACTTCTTCCAACAAACTGAGCATAAATTGGCTAGATACTTCATTTCACTAATATGTTTTTAAATTATAAAATCAATAATCGACTAAATCTCATCCAGTTAATTAGCTATAGACTACAGAAACTGCCAGTCGTAGTTGGCATGGAGAAATGACATCAACTACAGTTTAAAGCTAAATATAAGAAATATAATTGGAAACGTACAAATGAAGGTATTAAGTGACACTAAGGTCAACATTTAGGGGAAGATAAATATTGAAAGTAACGGTTTCACTGCAGGTGATCTTGAGATATATCACAAAAAGTCTCAAACAACAGATTGTGATTATCCGGTGAATACCAAGATAATCGAATATGTATTAGAGTAATTAATTCATAACAATGGTTTCCTGCTCCTTAATTGTGAAAATTGTTGATTTTCATGGTTTACGTATAATTTTGCCGTCAGAACCTTCAACAGATCAGTCAGTCAACTAAAACGTAGCTGATTTCTTGTTTGTGAAATGTGGGGAGGTATTTAGTTTTAAATAAATAAAATATTGTCAATAGAGAAGGTTGTCAATGTTTAATTGATTGGCAACAGGTTAGACATGTGGTTCAAATACTGGTGATGTGCTAATAAAGCTGGCCACAGATTCAGATTTCACTCCACTTTGTTTAGGCTAGGTGGGTAGTATAGCTAACTCTCATTGTAACTCAAAACGGATTACATACATCTGCAGTGATTACGTGAATTACATTATAGACTAACTTAACCAGTGGGTTACATATTCAGACTGCATTCGGTTTGCCACTATGGAAACTGTATGGTATCATTAGCTCATAAACAATGGATTTGGCTAATGGCTAAGTACGTAAAGGCCAGTAAGGTAGGTGTTTTCGATGTAATTGTAACATGAAAGAAACTTCATCTTTTAAACAAGAAATGATGAATACCTGGGTATTCAGTGGTTGGGTCTAAATCCGATAGAGATGCGTAGCTTAGGCTAGAGAATATTACAAATAAGTGAATAAAAACCCAAGATAATGTTTAAAAGTCGATTACCCTAACGTATTTGTATTCACTTCATAACAGCCTTTAAATATACGGTATTCTTATGCTCATGTGTTCATATTGTATATGTTAATATCAAGTTTCTCGTGTGTTGCACTGCAACTTACAATAATGCATTTCTCTATAGTTCCAGGTAAACTTGTGTTTCTCAAAATTCACATTACACGTGGACAGTACTTAGTAGTTTCACCACTAATAAACAACGTTGACGACTCTCAAACATCCCCGACCGAAGCTGCTACCTTGACGCGGTGGTCGGGCTTGCCTATCGTGATGACCCAACCGAGCTATATTGGCTGGAACATATGTTCCTGCAGGTTCTACCATGCCAGGCAGGTCGATTGGTGAACGGTAAGACTAAAAGCAGCAACTCAAGGTCTGAGGGCGAAGTCGTACTGCTGACTGTAGAGAGGTGTGACAGCAGTAAGGTGTTTCCCTCGGACAACCAGCATGACAGCGATGCTGCCTTCCCACAAGGAGGGGTGGGGTTAGAAAGGGTCGACCCTGAAAATGTCACACCTCACCTTACCTCACGGATTTCCGTCTCCGGCGGTAGGGCCCTTTGAAGAACGGAGCTAACACGTCAAAAACCTTCCACAGAAAGGCCGTGCGCGACCGGCTTCAAGCAGTTGTCCCTTGGGCTCTGCGGTCACGCTCCCAGGTCTTTAAGACCAACACTAATCCAATTTCCTTTTCAGGTTCCTCAAGAAATACCCTTCCACGGTGTGGGCAGCCGGGAAGTGACATCAGCCCTCATACCCGTAACAGCACACGAGACCAAGTTGATCACATTCAAATCCTTCCTACACCTACTCTCAAACATCCAGTTCTTACGATATGAGATCACAACTTACTGTCGTTCCTATTTATGCATGGAATGAACTAAGATCGTGTATGCTTTAAGAATTTCAGTTCATAAAGCTTTTACTTTTGATAAGCTGGCAATCACTCATATAATCTTTATAAAGTGGACAATTGTTTCTTTCATTCTGGACTCCAGCATCCTATAAGTAGAACTGATTTATTTTAATCATATCTGATTCTCCAACTGTGGAAAAAGCTTCATAACCCGGTCTTCCGTGGCAGATCTTTAATAGCTTCAGTAACATTGCAATGGCTATGATATTCCACTCATCTTGTTTACATTACAGATTCGTTGATGTTTCCTGTATCCTAGTTAAAGTTCTCTAGCCTTCTTTGATACTATGGGAATGTCATTTTAGTGTACAGCCGTATTTATCACTTCAGTTTCCACCAATTTTTTGTTTTCTAGTTAGTACAGTTGGAAGGGCAACTGTTATTTGCCGTGGTGGTGTGCTGCCACCTCAACAATTCTTAAATGCATGTGGTTCTTTAGCGATGCAACATATACCCGGTGCAATCAATTCGTCTGTTGGTAGCATATCATCAAATTATGCTTCAAGTGCAGCTTTTTGTATGAATAATCGTACTGTTAACCCTGATATTCTGTGTACGGCTATGAGTATTGCCCGGTCACGTAAATCAAGTGGATCTTCTGGTACAGGTTCAAATGCTCCACAGTATCACCATGGTCATTGTACGCCTGGTCAAGCCTATATCCAGTCCTCCAACAATGAACAACTAATGCATACTTCACATGTAACATATAATAAGGTAAATAGCCGTTTTCATTACTTTTGCTTGACCAAGTATAGCGATCGTCAATGCAATGAAATGCGTGAAACAATTTGTCATTTGATTTTGTCTTTGAATTCATGAATATTTTAATATTCATCGAAAGATGATCAATTCAACTGAAGATTTTAAATAGCTAAGTTCATTTTGATGCAAAAAATATGCTAATTGACATTCGAGGTTGCTGATCAACTGGTTTTTATATTTCGTGACATAAAACACATCTATAAATATCTTGTTGTACTATCTTACCTGTTTTCTTAACTGTAGCCTACTGTCCAACCTCAGTATATGGCTTCACAAATTTCTCATGCTGTTGTTGGTGGGGCATCGCAATCTGCACACAACAATAAGGAGGAACGTCAATTACTCTCTGATAGAAATGAAGTAGTTGTAACCGGTCAAACACACCTGCTTCAAAGTCAACAACAGAATAAGCGAATAACTTCAGTACTAGCAACTGACTCCTCAGAAATTCTCCACTCTCAGCAATTACTGACCGAACAGCTACCACAATACCAACAGAATGTTCGGGACTCAGTGATTTACCAAAAACAGTCAACATTGGAAATGGACAAAAATATAAATAAGGTAATTTCAATGCTGTATTAATACAGAAATTATTACTAAGTAGAGAAAGGCTTTGTGCTAAGCACCAAGAAATATTTCACACATGCAACATGGCAATAACTTAAAAAGTAAGAGATAATCGTACAGCGAATACTGTATCAATTAATAAATTTTGAACAAGAGCTAGACGGACATACGTTCCAGTGTCGAAAGAATTATCCTTATATCAACAGGTCGTTGGTAGTAAAACTTCCGATCATTCTAAACTCTTCTCTCCATAAATGATCGTTTTATGTAAGCTGTTGCCTGATGTGATATTTGACTTAGCTATTCAGAAATTGTACATGGTTTGTACTTACTATTCTCAACCTTCACATTTTAAACAATGACATAAACGACGTAAGACGTATCCACTAGAGTTTGTACACTTTACAAACAGCACAGGGAGAGTATATTAACAAGTGAAAACTAAACGAAGGCTATATATATATATATATATATATATATATATATAAAATTTGTGTTTGAACCCCGCTCCACCTAGTTCCGTTTGGGTAACTGGGTAATATCATTAGACTTATGATATAAGTGGAGTGGTCAACATACTCAACTACTTCACTTACTATGATCAAAGCAGGCGACGATCCAAATTCATTCTGATGACATTTTGCATTTGGAGGGCGAGAAGCACACACCGAACATGTTCACATCTTTTCTCAAGCTGATCGAAATACTGGATTATGTCACCGTCTTCACCGAATAGGACTATATCGTCTGTCTACTTTAAGTTGATAGGTATTGGTAAATCAATCGTTGAAAAGGTATAAGAAAGCGACAGAATCTCGATCATCGTCATCCCTAAAAATCTATGGAGTCAGCCTGTTATGTTATGCTGCTTTCCTTTGATTCAAGTTAGTTATAGCTTCCTTAACCTTACTAAGAGTTGGGGACCTAGGTGGAGTTTTGTTCTTTGAGCTGTATGGTCGAGGTCGACAGGACAAGCTGTGAGTCATGTCGAAAAATTCGAACACTTCACTCCTACTTAGAGTTTGTACTGATTATGTTGTTTAGAAGAACAATGAAAGCTTCGCGACCAAACCATCCAGCTCAGAAAACTAAACTCCACCTGAGCTACTAGTCTTTTTCACTATCTCAAGTTGGTGACTTGTGTCGATTTCCCATTTCGGTTTTTTGGAGATATTGTAACTGAAGGGTGGCCGGTCTACCTAAGTGACCATTCAGATTCGTCCTGATGACATTTTGTATTTGGACGGAGAGAAGCACATGTTAATGCTTGTTTTCTTCGTTCCAGGTTAGATATAACCTATACGACTTCGCTAGGATTTGGAGACTTGTATTAATTTACCATTGTAAGTGTTTGGAGATAATGGGTAAATGTAGGTCATTTGAGCTGTTTCTTCGTATTGGTCTAATCTCATGAACTGAATGTGCGTCGTGGTTCCTTTTTTCCAAACAACCGGCTCTCTAATATCTGCTTCGTTTATGAGTTGGAAAAGTTACTCGTCTCTGCTATATTTTCCATAGCTTTTGCTTTCATCTCACATTGATGCTCATTTTGCAGGATTTTGAGTTTAAATTCGAGTCGGTTTTGTTTTTAATCACTGGACCTCCCAAGATAATTTTCCGATCAGGTACCGAAGTCCACTTTTCCTTTCAAATCTTTTGATCTGATTTGGCAGTAGACATCAACTGTATGTACACCTATTTGGATATTATACCATGCTTCAGAATGAAATTTTTCCCCAATGACTAATTAGGTGTATGGCTAATTCTTCTGTGAATTCATTCTTGACCTTTTGATCCTAACCAGTTGTCACTTGGTTTTGACTGGTGTCAGAATATGAGTCCAATATAAGAATATTCACAATACATTCTGTTCTTTATATCTCCATTGTTTTCGAAGCTTGTTCTCAAAACATTTTTCACTCACTTCCCCATCTTTTGTGCAATGTTTCTTTTTACAAAGATGGGTCAGTTAAATATTTCCAGTCAAGCAACTCCAAGCACGCAGTCGCAACACCAAACTTTAAATGACAAAACAGCCGGTGAACCTGATGAACACTTGACAATACCACCTCCTGGCGCATTTCGTTATGATAATGAACGAGAACCTCAAGGTAATCAAATCAAAGGTCAAGAAGTAAATTTTGGAGATCCACTGGCTATGCAGAATAGTAGATTAATACCGAGACAGCCTACTGATCCCGTATGGGCACCTGATTTCTATATTGAGAAAGGTATGAATAAGTCACTATTTATTTAAACTCGTCTTGTTTATCGTTTTAATTTACCTATAATAATAAAATACAACTAACAGCTATTATCTGTTGAATGAATACTCTGCCCCCTGAAATCCGTTCATCTGAATAAGAAATAATGAGTCTATGAACAGAGATGGGGGCAGTCCGCACAGGATGCACATATGCCAACAAGAGACTGATCAGTTGCAGTCCTAAACGTGATTGGGAAGATTCAAACAAACAATACAAAAGTTAATAACATACTATAGTACCAATCCTTATTATTTCATGGGCGAAATCCCTCGGATCAGACCCATAAATAAGTGAATAAAGGGTCTAGTGAATGCTAACCTATGATCCACCAACTGTCGATAAATCAAAACTTCCTTCCATTAGAAAAATTATTAGATTAACTGTAATCTTGCTATATAGGGTTAAAAAAATTATACACGATTTCGCTGCAAATGGTTGACTTACCGCTTAACATTGGATATTTTCCCAATTAAAAACCGTAAATTAAAATTAATCAAGCAATCGAGTGAAAGGAACACCATAAACAGCTTTGTGGAATGCACCAAACCCATTATTTTGGAATTCAACTGTATACATATATCTGTGGAGTAAATTAATGATACATTTGTGATATTTCAACAAACAGAAATCTAAATTTCTGATGTTTCGTCACTCAGTGTAATTCACTGCTTCAGAGTAAATAAATACATAACCGAATAGAATTAACACGAGTTTGAATAGCATAAAAGAATAGACAAAATACTTATTTCAGTCAAAATAAGTCTGGTTGTGTCAATATTATGCTATTTTTGATCAAAATGTTTTCATGCGAGACATCACTGTATATCTGTGTTTATGGTAGTGATGGTGTGAACATCTGTGTGTATCAATGGTGTCATAAATAAACAGGATTAGATGCTGTTGTTTAGGTAAAACGACCACGTTGGATGAATAGTCAGGTTTTACCTTATCATATGAAACGCTTCAGCTACTCACTTTTCTTTATATTTGAAAAATCTTTCCGAACGATTTCGACCGCTTTAATATCGATCTGGTGGTCGTTAAAAACAATATGTACGGTCATTTCAGATTTTTCTGTAGATGTCCCATGGGACGATTAATGATTTCACGAAAAGACTCCAAAATAGAAAGCATTATAATCGACACAACCTAATGCGTATAAGAGGAATTTTCTCTTGTATCTTCAGATTTATTTATATTTATCCTTCTGATGTAAAGGTATTGATAAATTAAGCCGGCAGTCCATTTGTGACCGTTTTAACTTTTAGTATCTTAACGACATCCTTACTTTGTGAAATTATGCCTGTCAATTTGCTCTTTTTTTCCCTACAGTCATAACAATGTACGAGTACGTACGTGATAAAGATGATGAGCTAACATTTGTGGAGAACCAAATAATATACGTTATTAAGAAGAATGATGACGGTTGGTGGGAAGGAATTATGAATGGCAAAACTGGGTTATTCCCAGGAAATTACGTGGAACCTTTCGATACGGAATGATTAACCCTGATAACGAAGACAACTTTGGTCAAGTAAACAAGCGCTTATCTGTTTAATTTAATACAAATACTTTTTAATTTTTAATGGTTAATTTATCCAACAAATTATAATCATCGTCATCATGTTCATCTTCTGATTTTCCAGAACACTGTTCCTCTTCGTTCTCGCTCTCAGTGTCTTCATCAGAGTAGTTTTCTACACATGTCTGGCGACCATACTCGTAGCTGCGAACTAAAGCAAAAAAATCAACATTAAAACAAATAAGGAACTTTCCTAAAGATTAAGAGTACGATCAATATGATTACTAAATATACGTTGGAAGTATTGTGCATTTACTCCGAACGTGGTTACTTCATAATAGTAGCATTTCTGTCAATGATATTCTTGGTTTAGATATGCCTGAATGACATCAGATCTGGATAGTAGGCGAATTATCAGTAACAGGCAACCGAAATCGTAAGATTCATCATTTACACAGAATAACTCAGAATATCATTATTACTATCGAAGTCCCGAATTTGTATACTAACAAAAGGCCTTTGACAATACTAACCAATAGATTGCTTTTAGTATAAGAATTAGTACGTCTATCTGTGAAGAGTGTAGACATATCCAGTTTGAGAAAATACGGTTTATTGCGCAACAGTACCTTATGGTTTGTCATTTTATTACCACAGATTACATCTAATACGTCAAGATAGAACCTACTCATTATATATAAACGAATGGCAGGATGATTCTCAATCAAATCCTAGCTCGAGCACGTCTTATGTGGTAACATTTTGAAATGTTTAGTCTATGAATATTGGCTATCGGAGCAACTGCTTTATTTTTCTTTCGTCAATTTTTTTTTAGTTAAGATATTTACATTGTCTAATCTACTATTGACACATTCGTGATTACTTTGGATTTTATTCGATTTGTATTTATCGAACTTAACAGTCTAGCTTTCCATATATTTTATCACAACTTACCTGATACGCTCAAATTATAACTATCAGTTAAATCATGTCCGCATTTCGGACAAGGAATAGGCCTTCCACGTTCATACTTCACACCTTTTCTCTTGCAGTGATCGTCACAATATGTAACTTTACAACGGAGACACGTTTGTGTTCCCGTTTTGTTACATGAAGCACATTTAAAGTTCTCACTTTCTAAACGTTGACAGCTTGCCTGAAATATTACATGGGAAATGATAAGTTATGGTACAAACATAAAATCCTATATAATAAAAACAAATTCTATCAGTTAATTAAAACTAAGTCTGTGTGGGAACCATTCTCCAATGATTCTTCAAATATTTCAGTTTAATCATAGTAGCATCAAACTTTGTTAATGTATGCAGTTCCTCGTTCGAGGGTTTTAATAATGATGTTCTAATGTCCATTTAGTGTTCACTTTGTGTCTTGTTTTAGATAAACACATTTAGGTTTAAGTTTACGTTTCGCTTCATCAAGCAACAGGAAGTCAGTAAGAAAAACGAAGAAATGGGAATGACAATTTAACACAAAACAAGGATCATGTGATATTGTAAACGTGTAGGGAAATAATTATTGAAGGTATTCACATTACTGAGAGGTTTTGGAACATAAGTCTTGAGATTTTTTCAACTATTGAAAATAGTTACCTTGTCAATTTAATACATTTTCACTTGTACAAACAACAAATGACTTCATGAACGGATTGCATTTTATGGTTAGTCCTGTAAAACTTCAAACCAACAATTAACACAGATGACATTAATCTGCGGCGCATATATATTTTGGTCCCCCTGTGTACCACTATTTATGTATTTAAATAAATAAAGTAAAACCCAACATGCACTATAAGCAACCACTGCCAATATTATCCTAGGACGAATTATATGGATTCCATAAAACAACAACATACCTGGTGCTCAAACTGGTCATCCTCACAAAGCTTGTGGTCACAATAGGCGCAAGAAAACACCCGACCACCAAAACTGTATAACCCGCGCTCACATTCAACACAAACAGCGTCTCTCAGTGGACATTCACATGCATGTACAGATAAACACTTCTCCCCATGACATATCCAAGCTTCACAAAAGTCGCAAACCGCTCCCTTGAATATTAAGTGAATAAGGAAATAAAATGTTAGTTGATGGATAGTGCAGTGCGGTATGTCTGAAGGTCGATAAAAATAAACCCCAAGAACTTCCAGATACTAAGTCTGTTACATGAGTCTAACCAGAGATGATGGCTTTGATCTATATCTTTTCATTTATAGCCGTGAAGGTAAAGATAATTTCACTCGTCAGGACTCGTAATAAAGTACAAGTTGACTGTTTCATATGTTAAAACATAACTAGAAAAACACTCCAGTAATAGTGGTTAATCCGGAATTTTAAATTCTATTTGGACCAATCAGCTGGGCGAACTCGTCTGTTAGATAATACAAATAATTTCGAAAACTGATATTGAAACACTGCTTCATTATATGTAGCAAAAGGTATTAAAATATAACGATACATTCCCTGAAGTTAAAATAGTATTATCGGTCAGTCAGCTAAAACATAGGACCAGGCACATATATACATCGGTCCAAGTTGCCATACCTCATTAGCACAACAAGATGAACATCAAATTCATAGAAGTAGTCACTACAATGGTGGTAATGTATAAAAGAAAGGTTGTGTATAACGATATAGCACAGGAAGAAAGAATTAGTCCGTAGAAAGATATATCAAGTCAGTCATTTTCAGACGTTTTGGCAAGAATGGCTTGAACATTTCCACACGAAAGTGTCAGGACGCTAGTCACTCTTTTCCTTTACTAATGTTGTGTAGTCTTAACGTTAGTTTAGTACATCACTTCGGGTGAAAAAGGTATCATGAGTCATACTAACTTTCTGATTTCTGCAATGTTTTATTCAACACAACGCCAGAAACTTTACACACTCCTTAGTTTCGAATAATTTAGTAGCAATATGCTGACTGAACAGAACTAATTAGTAACTTCAATATTCCCATTGTGATAAATTGAGAAATTAATTTAAGAACAGTCACACTTTCAGCAGTTTCCTACCAGGTTATATAATTTCTGGGACTTTTTCATTATTTATTCAGTACAGAAATGTTACTAAATCTAGTTAAATCCGAACAATTGTTTGCTTTTGCAGTATGTAATTATAGGGCATAGTATACAGACCCCGAAGCGATTATTTAGTTGTAGCTTAAGAAAGACAATATCCTACACTAGCATTGGACATGTAAAAGGGATTTTAGTTATAATCGTAAGTTATTTGACCAAAATATAGAACGGACTCCAAATGGAACTTCTCCGATTTACAAACTACCCTGGTGCATCTCGGTAATTAAGTTTAGGTATAAGCGTAGAGTTTTGAGACAGGGTTTAGAAGGGTTAGACGTATTATTGAAATATGCAGGCAGAAAGTGTAGCTTCATTCGAATCTGTGACCCACTAGTCAAAGGACGACCATCTAAACCACTGACTACACTTACCACCATACTGAGTCCAGTAACATGTGTAGAACCATGTTTAACTAGACAATCGCCAGAACGTGCAGAACACTTTTGTTTACCACAATGACAACACACTGGGAGTCTTTGGATAGACTGGCAAAAATAACAAAATGCTCGGTTTTTCTGATGCTTCCCACACTGGCCACACTCCTATAATTTGATAACCTTGAACAAAATACAGACATACCATCAATATGTTCGAAGGATGGTTGATAAGATCTATTTCTAGTCCTTTTGTTCGGAGTAATTTTTGTCTTATCTTAGCTTTTTCAGCTTTCTTCCTTTGTCCAGTCTTCTTTTTAGGCATTTTGCTGTAAATTATCGGTTTTGAAATTATTGTAAATACATTTTACCTGAACAACTGGACAAACCACTACATCAAAATAAGACACAAGCCTCTTGTTTAGATGTAAAGTAGTTCCAAAAATCAGTTCCGCTGGGCAACATCCGATATCTTGACTAATTATTTTTAAGCCCAACATGACTAGAGGAAGTCTATTGGCCCGATCAGTATTGTCATACAGCTGTGAGAGAGGTTTTTAGTTCCCCATATAACCGCTCTATCATATGATTTTCTATCGGATGGTTCGTGGAACTATTCTACGTCTACCCGGAGAAATTTTCGCTTTAGGTAAGTGTCCCAGCTGACATAACCGTCTAAAGCAGCACATTTGTGATTCAAGAATAACGCCTCCGACAACAACTTGGCAAAATTGCCCATGTATTTATCAAGAGACAATGTACAGTGTCCCGTACAATGACCCGTTTAAGGGAACGACAAAACTGTTATGGTAGAAAAGGCTGGAAAAACGCATGCAATTAGGGTTGACTGAGTCAAACCGGCTTTCATCGAAAGTAACGATCAGCTGTTAAGTACTTTTCATATTATTACCACTATTTTTATTAAGCTTCACAGTTCTCTACACAGATTTCCATTATCTTTACATTTAAACGTGAGACATTTTTTGATACGTTAAGGATGTACGTATTTCCGATATTCAGAGTATTAATATTCACATGTACATTATATATATAAAAAGCCCCTTAAATTTTTGGAACATAACGCAGGAAAATGCTATTAATTAATCAGTAACCCAAATGCCCTGGTACGGCCGAGAATGGGGAGAGTCAGCTCTCCCTCTCCAGATGCTCTCACATGGCCACGTGCATGCAACCACTGCCAGGGAAGTTCTACTCATTGCCTTCTCGCGGCATTACTGTTGTCTGCAAATTTGAGAGGACGAAAAGCGGACGTCCGGTGCCTTAACCAGATTGGTGGATCCATATAGGGAAGTTGGAAAACCCTGATTCCAAACCAATGGTGCACATAGGCTCAGGATCCTGAGGGAATAAATGGCGTATGAACCAATTATTGGTCACCGGCTACCATGGGGCTGAATCTCCTGACGTTGCACCACTGCCTTGTGGATTAGATCTTTAGGTCAAAGGCTCGTGATGTGGCCCCCTAAGAGAACCACCTGCTTCGGTTTGAGCAACCGGGAAGTATCCCAGCCCTTACACAAATCGGATGGTTTACGTGGCGCATATCTATTTGGTGCCTCCTTGTACCAATGTTTATGTATTTAAATAATAATAAATAATAGCATTATATAAA